CAGGACAAGAAACAATAAGACTGGCCTCTTTAAAGGAATTAGAAGGGGATATTTAAAGGATACATCCATGGTGGGGGGCGAGGTGAGGGGAAGGAGAGCAGCAAAGTAGCTTGTTCTAGGTTGTGTTGTGTTACACCTGGACATACGTAAGTGGGTCACATTCTCCCTTCAGGGAATTGTGAGATAATCACAAAGTTAGGATCTAACTTTTTTTTATATATTACAGTGCTTCATGGTCAATGTGGTGGGCCAAATTTTTGGACCAGGCCATGAGTCAATCTATAAGATTATCCCTCTCACCTCTTGGTTCTCTGAAGGTTCTGGGGCCCACAGCTGAGTGGCTTAAGCATGGGCTATGTCAAAGCAGCCAGGATTGATGGAAACCCCACTATAGCCCAGTTTGGATTTTAGAAAGAAAAAAAAAAAAGAGAGACAGAAAAGCTAATGCAGTTTTGGAGATGCACTGTTCGGGGTTAAACCTGTCGGCACCGTTCAGCTGGGTACAGCACATCCCAGGCTCAGGTTCAAGTTCAGGCTCCCAATGGGGCCAATTAGGCTCAACAATCTAGTCTTGGAAACAGCTGTTTGGGAAAATGGACCAATCAGGTTTGAAAGGCAGGTAGTCTGGGTGGTGAGGGGAGGTCTAAGTCAAGGCTTAAGTGAGCTTGGGAAAGACTTCAGGACAGACTCATCTGGACTCCGTTCTGGGAAGACCTTCATAGACACCTTCACTTCACCTTCCTTCATCAGGAGTGCACTTGCCTATGCTCAGCACCTCCAAAGACTTGTCCAGTTGGGCGCCTGGCACTGCTCAGCCCCACCTTTGATTGCTGCTGTGACTACCTCCAGTCCCCACAGATTAGTTGGCTCCTGGTCCATTTACTGGTATACTACCAGTTCCAGGCTCTGGTCAAAGGGACAACACCATCTTACACAAGCAGCCTCTGGTGTGGACTGCTGGACACCACGGTCATTGTCTGGGGTAGGACAGTCGATCATTTGCAACGTGAAGAACTCTTTCCTTATCTCAGTCACCCCTCTGTAAATAAACACTTCTGTTGCTGCATCCTGAGCCTGAGTCATGACTTGGAATTGTGAGTGTACAGATGAGAACCCACCAGTCTTGATATCTTCCCTGCTCAGTTTCAGGTTCACCTGTTCAAATAGGACTTGGGACAGCTCATTCTACCAGCTCATAATTTCTCTTACCTAGATTGGATCACTGGGGAGCAGCTTTCAGTTGCCACAACCTCTCCCTAATTCACTTCAGGGTATTGATTGCTTATATTCTTAAAATTTTCATAAAGATTGATAATGGATAAGATCTCTATTTCTTGTGCCTCTGGCTTTACATCTGAACTTTTGTGTTAATTCTCCAACTAAATAAACTACTGACTCAAATATTTGTCTAGAGTGAGCATTTGGAGGAACCTGGGTTAAGACACTTTCATTTCCCTTTACCTTCTGTTGTAGCTTGAGTTCCCAGCAAGGAAGTTCTGTGATAAAGTTGGCATGTGTGATGTTGTGATTTATAGGAGATAATCTATTTAGTCATTTAGATGCCAAAATATATTTGGTTTTCGTCCATTACAGCTCCCAACAGCCTTGGAATTTCCTACCTGTGGGGAGTGATAAGTGTCTCTTATGTTAATCAGGTGAGTTTTGGGGAGGTGCCTTTGGATGATAACTGGTTGCTAGAGGAATCAACCAAGTGATTAGCTGGTCTGAATATCCAGTCCTCACCATCCTCCTGGCGGGGGAGGTAGAATGGTGGTTCAGTTCAATTGCCAAGGGCTAAAGAGTTAATAAATAAACTATGTCTGTGAAGTGAAGCCTTCATGAAAATCCAAAAGAAGCTTCAGAGACCTTCTGGGTTTGTGAAAATGTGGAGATTTGGTGAGAGTGGGGTAACTGAAGAAGGCATGGAATCTCTGTCTTTTCCCCATACCTGGCCCTTTGCATCTCTTCCATCTGGCTGTTTCTGAGTTATATCTTTTCTAATTAATCCATGATCTGGTGAGTAAACTCATTTCTTGAGTTCTGTGTGCTTTTCTAGCAAATTGATCAAGACTGAGGAGGGTATCCCGGGAATCTCTGATCTGTAATTTGTTGGCCAGAAGCACTGGCAGCCACTGAGGACTTGTTTGCGACTTGAAGTTGGGATATGAAGTAGAAAGTGGCCTTGGGACACTGAGTCTTGTAAGCTGTGGAATCTGACACTATCTCAAGGTAGATAGCATTAGAATTATGTTGGAATCTTGGACACTTGTCCAAGAACTGCTGCTTGGTGCAGGAAAGCCAACCTCCACATATTCGTGTTGGAAATTGGTCTCTGGGGCGCATATACTGTAAGAAATTTATTAAGAAGTGCACTTTGTATACACATTTGTGGGTTGGAGGAACAGGAAGCATATTTGGACAGAGGAAGAAATTGATCTGGAATGTAAGCTCAACAATAATTGAGATAGATGGTCTAGGAGCTCTGGAGGAACAGAGATCCCTCAGAGAGCACATGATTTGAGCTGGAATGGCCAATTATTTGTACTCTGCTAAGCGGTAGAGTGTGATGGACTAAGTGACTGCCATTGAGGCCACCTTTGAAGATGCAAACAGCTAACAGTATCTAAAATATTCTCAGCTTTTAATCAAATGTCACATGTCCTTCATTGAAAGGGGTTCCAGGCAGCATATTACAATCATCAGATACCTCCTGTTTGTTTGTTTGTTTGTTTGTTTGTTTGTTTGTTTGTTTGTTTGTTTGTTTGTTTGTTTGTTTGGTTGGTTGTTTTAAAGATTTATTTTTATACAAGACCTGGGGTACCGGTCAGAGCTGTGGGAGGGTGAGAGGATTCATCAGAGACAGAGCAGGGAGCAGAACAGGCAGATAAACTGAAATACACTGCTGAGGGGAGCAGCAGGTGCAACAGGAGAGGTCTGCCACACCATGTGGGAATCTCCCTGGCCAGCCGGGAATCGAACCTGCACTGAAGAGGCTGCAGACAGCTTCACAGTGCTGCGCTCAACCTGCTGTGCCACCTGGGAGGCCCTACCTCCTATTTTTGATGGTTATTTTTTCTAATATTTTTCCATTATTTTTAAGCTACTCTTCTTAAACTTTCGAATGTTCTCATTTTTAAGAATTGTTTACCAGTTTCAAATGAGATAATCAATGTGATTTCACAACCTCAAAACTTTTCTTCCCCTTTCTCTTTTAAATATTATTAACTGCATTACTTATGGGTTTTCAGGGTTGATTGCATTTACATCACATTCTGTTTTGTTGCAGATTTTTTATTAAATGCATTGAAATGCATTTCACAAATTATTATGCTTTAATTTCTCAATTCACCTGAAGATTCAACTGAAGATTCCAAATTGCAAATTTATTTTCAGAGACTTATTGAACACATATTGCTGGATTCATATTTTGCATGTTCAAATGTGTTTCCTGCTTGATTAAGTTTAAATATATATTCTATTACTCAACTTTTGCTAGAGCAACAAGCAACTCCAAGGTTGCAGCTGTACATTTTCTGGGCTTCACTGCCTTGGACTGGTGCAGGAGGGTGTGGTGATCTTTTCATTGTGGGACACAGAATGCAGGAAAAGATCACTACCTGGGTTGTACTGTTTTCATGGCAGGGCATGGGAGAACAAAAAGGACTGATGAGTACATGGAGTGCCTCTTAAAACCTGTTTGGACTGACTCATTGACATTTTTGTTCACAGTCTATTGGCTAATGAAGATCATATAGCAAAGTCCATGTGGCAGGAAGCCGTAAGGCATAGGGTTTGGTTATAAAATGTATTTAAGAGGAGGCAGTGAAGGATGTTGACAATAACAGAGTAATAAGTACATTCCTTGGTAATGCTGATTGTTCCCCTCTGCATGCAAAAACACTTTCTCCTCTGCAATGATGGTATTGCTTTGGTTTTACACATACATGGATTAGATTTGAAATCTAGGATCCTATGTTGGCTATTCATCATCAGATGTGATCCCCTTTATTTAGAGGCCGTGAATGAAATAGAAACAAATAGCATATGATGGTGAAAATGGAACAGGATATCCTGTAGCAAATACTATTTGGAATGAAAAAGAATGAAAGTCACATAGCAACTACTACTTAACAGCAATTCTGAAATACTTAAGGACAAGTATTCTGTGATTCCCCTTTACAGAAAGAGGATGTGTTCTTTGATAGAATACAGTTCTACTGATATAAACTCTGAGGTCTCTTCTCCATAACTCTAAGATGTGCACACTGGAACATCTTTTCTTTGTTATTACCCTGAGTCACATCTGAAGAGGTCCTTTTTTCCTACCCAGGAAGATTTGCAGACTGAAATGTATTTTTTGGTTCTTGAACTATTAGAATCTTTCTGATCCAAGTCTCAGGTTCTTTTTAGAACACAACATTACAGAGTCCTTGCTTGATTCCTACTTGATCCCACTCAAATTAAGTGCAAGTGGTCATACCCATAAAGCACAGAGTTCTTTTTAGACTTCATTATTCCTATGAACTTATCAAGTTTTTATGTGGCCTTCTCTTGTCTCCTGTCTTTCAGTCATTTTGTTCACCTAAAAGAATTACTGAGAGTCAAATTTATCCAAGCAGGAAGGAGATGTGCATTGTTAATTTACTTTAGATGTTAACAGCTGAGGCCATCTAAAATTTGGTTTTCTTCTTATGAAAGTTTTTCATTATCTATGAAATAGCACATTTTCAATGTTAACTTCTCTCTATTACTTATGCACCTGTTTTGAATCTTCCCTTAGTTTTTGTGGAGGCTCAGACAACATTCCAAAATCCCCAGTCAAAGTTAACATATGAATCTAAGTTAACACTGCTAAAAAATCATTTTCTGTTATTCTACTTTGAAAATATAGTCATGACCAGAAAACGAAAAATTAACCTTTCTAATTTCAAATATGACAACTATTAAAACTACTGAATGTATTCATTCTTGGGTGTATTTGTGGATATTTTTTTTTGAAGGTGGCTGTGGAGATTCTCTTGGGAGAAAGTGACCAACAAGCACAGGATAGGACTCTGGGAGGACAAAGCAGTAAGCTGCAGGCTCAACTGAGAAAGAATATTGACCTTCATGTCTTCTTCCACCAGGTTTTGCAACTCAAGACATTCTTTCTTTCTATGAATTTTAAGCTTTTGGATATGCTTTTTGTTTTATTACCTGGGAGACCAGATTGCTTTATGAATTTTAAGAATATGACAGTACTAACACTTGAGCAAAGTTATGCTGTGAAAAAAAATCAAACTCCTTTAAAAATAATCAAGTATGTTTTCAAATAATTTTTAAACAGGGTTAAATTTAAGGTGACATTTAGCAACTGAAGAAATAAACTAACATTTCCTGAGTATCTTCCTTCCTTTCTTACAAAACAATACATGTGATTGCAGAGTCATTCTAGTATGCTAACAATTACCTTTGCAATAAGGAAGAAATATCTAGAATGGGAATATAGTCAGCAAATTTTGGATATATTCAACATTTTAATGTCTGTACTTGAAATTACTCAAAAATTGCTAAGTAACAATAGCAACCTCACACTCTTTAAACAAATCTAAAAGTATTTCCTTTCTTTTTTTCTTTCCTTTTTTTTATTTTTGTTTTTTGTTTTACTTTGCCAAAAGCTATTGTAATATATTGGAATACTCTAAGTTGCACACACAGTCTAACAATTTACACTGAAGGAATGCATTCTCTTTTTGGAGAACACATCATCAAAATTGACTCCGATGGAAATCATCTTATTTTGACAGCCATCATCAATATACAATGTCACTCCGCATGTGAAAAATAGGCATACAGAGCAGGATCTATCACCTTTCATGAGTGCATAAGAACAAATGCACATTTTGTCTGCATGACAAATGTAAATCTGAAAATTCTGGGTTTTTTTCTAGGCTTTCTAGAAATAATAAGGCGGAAGACAACAGCCACCGTCTAATTATTCAAATTTATAGGATAAGAGAAGAAATTTGACTGAAAATCAGAGTGCAATAAATTGATCTAGACCAAAACTTGCTAGAGCTTATTTTCATTGGTAGCATTTATGCTACTGAGAGAAAATGCTCTTGTCACACATATGATATTGCTAAAGATCCTACTGCATGCTTGGTACTATGTGGCGAGTATTAATTAATTTCTTTTGTGCATCCTTGTATCACTTTCATCATCTTCCATTGCCTATGTTATTTTGCACAGATATATTGGGTATATTTCATTATCCAAGCTCTTCCTGCTGTTTGGTAGAAGCCAAACATCTCTCAGGTGACTTCCTTTATTGCCCTAGATTAGACAGCATGTGTACAAAATCTGAAAGACAGTTTTCAGGAGGAGCAGCTCTCAGCTACCTGGACCATCTCCTTAATTCACCTCTGGGTCTTGACAGCTTTTATTCTTTAACATTATCATAATGCTTGATAATGTGTAAGATCTGTGAGTCTGACTTTATATCTAAACTGTTGTGTTAGTTCTTCTCGTAAATAAATGATTTACTCAAATATTTATCTTAGAGTCAGCATCTGGAGGAACCCAAGCTAAGACCCCTTCTTTATAATTAAAATTTTACACCATACACACATACCACCTAATAGATTGTTTTGAAATTCCATTTCCTTTTGTACAGTCCAAACAAAACAGGCTCATAGTTGGCATTTTTAGAGAAATGTGCATGGTCTCTGCGAAATTGATTAAGCAGGCTATACCTCAGGAGTGCAAATTGTAAAACATTAATACGAGTTATGAAGAAATGTCATTTTGACACAGTGGCTTGTTAGCTGCAAGAACCTGACAACATTGACTAAATAGTAGGTTTGTGGAGAGCAGAATAATCTCATAAAATCTATTTCTTCCTAAGGTGTCTCACAGTGAGTTGTAACTGCAGTGGCTGGGGACTGACAGGGTTTGGAAAGAAAGGGAAGTGTAGCAGGAATGAATGAGAGCCTCTGAAAAATGCCATTTGCTCTACAGATCACTCACCTCTGTATTAGCAAATCACCTTCTATGATAGTTCACCAAAAAAAAAAAATCACAATGATAGATTTATAGGTAAATAGTATAAAGGAGATTTTTTTCTTTATTGAATGACTTTCTTTTCTTTCACCTTCAAGTGGAAAAATAAATGAGTGCACCAAAATACAATTTAATCTGATTCATGGAATAAATGTGAGCATGAGTGTTTTACCCAGTGGTGATTATCCACAAATGGTCAGTCTTTCTAGTTAAACAGTAAGTGAAGGACTAAGCAATTATGTGTTTTTAATGCTATCATAATGACATCATGAATCATTTCATTGTAATGCTCAAAGTTTTCATGTTAATGGAAGCAATCACTATCACTATAATCAAGTGGCCTTGATAAAGCTCCTTCCCTAGGCCAGGCATTGCCTGTTGAGAGTTTTAAGGGAGGCCCGCAGATCCCCCTCCCTTGTTCCTGGCAAATCATTTCCCTTTGCCAAGACGCCATCTGCTTCATGACTTACACTGCCCCCGAGATTAATTCCTAGAAGACGGCAATGCTCGCAGTGATGACTTTGATTACCCTAAGTGAACAACAGTACTGATAACACCATCCATTGAAACCCTATTTATTCAGCCCTTACCCTCAGTCTAAAACTTTCAGGTGACCCATCATCAGATGCTCATTCATCTGGATGTTTTCTTTTGTCCTCTGATTGGATCTAGGCTCCCATCTCATCCAAACCCCACGAATACTTTTAATTTTATACCTTCTAGAACTTGCAACCAAATCTTCCATAACTTCAAAGATATATTGGAACATACTTTTCATCTTTTTTGTTTTTTTTTTTTTGCATTCAAAATAAAATATCTGTTTAACATATTTTAAGGAACATAAATATGGCATGAGGGATGTCTGGATTTTTGCCATAGATTAAATGCTAGCAAAATGTTACTTGTCAATGTGATTTCTATTATATTTAAATGATTTAGAGAATTCATGTCTTTAGGTCTTATGTAATATATCTGTTAAACACTAACTCGAAACATAATATACAAAAGATTTGTGTGTGGGAGAAAACAGACTTTCCTGCAGGGATGAATCAATCAGTTGAAGACATCATTTTCTAAAAAAAAAAAAATATTAACTTATTCCAACTGAAACATGGAAGAAAAAAAACAACAAACAGCCCCTCATTTGTGGCTGCTTTCTTCTCCCATTTGAGCGCCTGGAGTCTGGAGTTGGTTTCTGCCTCCTTTCCACACCCAGATCATTTCTGCCCCTCCATTCTGAAACAAACAAAAAAAAAAGAAAACTTGTTTTCACTGATGGCGGTGAGGTCATAGCACTCCCTTATAGTTGTTTATACATTTCCCAGGTATTCTTAAACATCAAAGATTTTAAGTCCTTCACACTAGACTCATGCGATTTATCTCAATGAAAATCCCCATCTTCACTTTTATTTACTTTAACGTGATGACAAGCCTCCGATTGACAGATATCCAAAGCACCTCATCTTTTACATAACTTTTCTCCATCTTACCTCAGCGTCCCGCTTGCATGTTTATAGCCTACAACCTTATAGTTCTTACTGTAACAATCCCTCAATTTTAAATGTTTCCTAACCACCAGTTTCTATTTTTCCCAGCTCACCATTACCCATTTTTATTAGTCTTGAACCCATGGATCCTGATAATGTTTACTATGCATCTGCCCAGTGTTGCCTGACATCCTTCCATTCTTGCCCAGATTCCACATGACTGAGGGAGCCTCAATGTTCCCCTCAGCTTGGCTGCATCCTGACATGTTTCTTTCTGAAACTAGACCGCTCATCTCCTTTTCTTAGATCATTTACTTTAGAACACTTGGGATTGGAAGTTCTCTGTCCCTCTGGAGTGTAAGTGTAGTGGCAGGAAGGGACGGAGCAGGATCAATATGATTCGAGCAGACGGATGAAGGAGAGTCCTGGAGCCCTCGCCGGCTTTTTCAGGGTTTTATTGGGATTCACCAGGTACACGGCAGGCAGGGGTGCTGAGTGGCCAGGAGGCTGACAGGTCTCCTAACCCCCAGCAAATCTTCACTCTTTCTGGGCTTTCCGGCATTCTCTCATGGCTTCTGCTTCTCTCCTCATTTCTTCTCTTTTGCTCTGCTGTTTCGCTCTTTCCCTGCTCTGCTGGCATCCCTGAAACACCGCCCTTATAAGCTCAGACTCTCAGCCCAGGTGTACCCACCTACAACTGCCCACACCCTACTCCAGGTGTCCGCCATCAGGCATGCATTCAGGACCACAGATCCATCATCAATCCTAATGGCAGGAGGGCCGAAAAGCCTGATACTTTACCTTACCCTACAGTAAGTCACTCAGCCTCTTGTCAGTTTTGTTACCTAGAAATGTCTTCCTCAGGGACCTGGGAGCTATCCCTTTCAAATGTAATCATCAAGGAAAGAGACTCTGTGGGACACCAACAGCCTCCCACCTCCCCTGAGAATTGATTAGTGAACAGAGGGCCTGGGCATATTGACCAACCCATCAAAGACTTCTCATTGCTTGTACTAGCTCATCTCTCTTGAATCCACTCATATTAGGTTTTCTATTTTTCCAAGAAATCACTCATGCCAATGTTAACTATGACTTCTCTAGTCTAGGCCACCTGTGAAACTTTGAGAGTTTGGACAAAATTCATGGTTGGCATACAGTATTCTGCAGAGTTCTTCAGCTCTTTGAAGATCTCTCAGGGATTAATTGAGAATGAAGAGAAGTCAGCTGTTTAGGCTCTATCTCCTAAATCCTTTGCAACCAAAGTCCTTTTCCTTTGTCTGCTTTGTAAATTAAGGATCCCATAGGACTATGTGATCTATAATGGTGTTTTTGGTTTAAAAAGGGATAATTAACTAGAAGACAAATTAATCCTCATGGCATATAACTTAATAGCAATGCACTGTAAATGCTGACTCGCTACTTAAAACAACACTTATGCATGCTTTCAATTATCCATGAAAATCAGGATTTGGAGTTTAGTGGAAAGAGCACTAGGATCAGTTAGGTCTTCAGTCCTTACCCTTATGAATAAAGTTGTGACTATAAGCCATCTTGCCTAACAGGACTCTTGTGATTAGTAATTAATTCCAGATAAAATTCTAAGCTTATAAGTCTAGTGAGTGGCGAAGAACTCAAGTCATGCTTATTAAATTTAAATTCAGAAGGAGTATATTTGATGGAAAGGAATCTCAATGATATTATTTTATTTCATTAATTTATCATGTTTTTTAAACACATTATCGATACATTTCAGTTTTGTGT